TCCGCCCCCGCGTTGGCGACGCGCCGGTGCGGACAGAACGGCACAGCAGACCAGCGAGGCAGATGATGATGCTACTGCTGCTGATGATGGTGATAATGAGAACGTGAGTGTGATGACGACAATGACGAAGGATGATGATGGTGTGGTGATGCTGAGTGTTGAAGCATGGTTTGATGCTGACAGCGATGTTGATGCGAATAATGCTGATGCTAATAATAATGTTTTCGGCTCAAGCCACCACGCCACTTTTCCCTTTCCCCTTCCCATATATTGCGATGGCAGGTGCGGGCACGCGAGCACCAGGGACACCGACCCGAGGAGTTCTTGAACGCGACGTCCGCCAGCGTTTGTTCAGTCCGCTCCACGAGATGGATGGGCTGGACGACCTCAGCTCTCCACCCCGGCCGGAGGTGCATCAAATATCTTCGCCAGTGGCCCCGACCACTCCCGCAGAAGCTCATGCAGTGCCACGGCCTCCACAGCATCAACATCCTCCAATTCTACAGGAAATCGCGGCCATCACCCGCCAGGAGGTCCAGCCGATCAACACCACCATCGAAAACTTCGACAAGCGCCTGGAGGAGATGAGTGGGAAGTTCGACGGCAGGTTTGGGGAGGTGGAGAGCCACATGGAGGACATCGACATCCACCTGACAAAACTGGAGAACACGTGTGAGCATGCAGGCGGCTCACCGGCATCCCCCCGCAGCATCAACACAGAGGTCTGGGACCACATCAAGGCGCTGCAGGTGGAGATCTAGCAGTTAAAGGGCATCACCTCCGGCACAGACAAGAGCCAGGACAAAGAGTTGACCGCAGTGATTGAAGGACTGCAGTCGCTCTCAGGTCTGGACGAGGCCCGCGACTGGCTCAAAAATAAGCTTTGGGAGTCCTACGCGCCACAGCCGGAAGACGTCCACATCAGGGGCGAGTTTCATGGCATGATCTTTTCGAAGTTTTGGGACCAGACCGGCAGGGACACAGCAGTGCAGACTCTGAGGACGAAAGCCTTCAAGGAAGGCGGCAAGACTGTCTGGGCTAAGCCGGACAAGGCTCTGCCCCAGAGGATCTTGAATTCGTGTGGCTAAGTACATGCTGAAGGAGTGGGGCTACACCAACAGCGTCTGGGCCGATCCCGAGAAGGGAAAGGTGTGGGTCGGCGACGACGTCGCGATTCAGGTGTCCATCGACAATGGAACGCTGAAGGTCGAGTACGGCGCCGGCTGGGAGGAGTGGCTCACTCATGCCGATTTCCCGGGGTTCCCTCAAGTGGTACAGAAGCTACGGAACAAGCTCGACCAGCATCCAGACAAAGGTGTAGGTAAGGGCGGCTCCAAAGGGAAGCACAAGGGGAAAGGCTCTGGCCGCCATTCCAAGCAGGGGTGCCGGCGGCCCGCGAGCAGGACAGTTTCACAACAGAGCCGTGGAGATCTTGGACCTCCTCCTGAGAATCCCCATGGCGAACATCGATTTTCTGCGGACAGCCGGAGAATTGGCTTAGCCAGTCTGCCATTGTCTGCTGCGCGGGGTGGCCGTTTGCGCCGGGCGCCAAGAAAACTTACCACTGCAAGTTGGAACATAGAAGGGTACACGGACTGCAAGCAAAAAGAGTTGGAACGTATCACGAAAGATATGGGCATCATGATTCTGTGCATCCAGGAGACTTGGATTTCGAAATCGAGCGTTTTCGTATCTGATGCCGGTTATTTAGTTCTACAATCAGGCGGCCAGGAAGAGTCTACAGACAAGGTTGGGGTGGGGTTTCTCGTGGCACCCGCCGCCAGGAGTTGCGTCGTGGGCTTCTGCCAGGCGTCCTCACGGATGGGCTTGCTGAAAATCCGGGGTACTTGGAGGCAAGGCCGATCTCTTCACGGCGTATGCTCCACATAGCGGCAAGGAGTACCAGGAGCGCCAAGATGTCTACCACGACTTGACAGATTTCGTCGAGGCTCGGTCGGCACGTAATCTCGAAGATTATCTTAGGTGACTTCAATGCAAGGCTGCACGAACGAACGGGGGATGAGGAGGATTCCATTGTCGGCCCGCACATATTCCAGCACCCAAATGCCAGCGTCAAGCCGGAGGCAAACCGGTTCTTGTTGTCAGAGACCTGCGAGCGGCTGCGGATGCGCATTGCCAACACTCTTCGAGAGATCGCAAGAGGACCTCGTGACGTGCTACAACGTCGGGTGCCTTCTCGGGTGCGCCGTGAGCGAATCAACGCACTCACAGATCGATTTCGTAGTCTGCGACCAGGACTGGCTCCCGCACGTCAACGACGTGCAGGTACGCCGCGAGGTGCTGCTTGCCTCACACCATTTCTTGCTGATGGCCCGGTTGCACGTGGCCGTCGACACGGAGTCGAAGGACTGGAGACCGCCCGAGCCCGACGTGCAGCAGCTGAACGAGGAAAGCACGCAGTTAATTTTCAGGCAGCATCTCTCGCGCTCCCTGGAAGATATAGACGAACAAGACAGTGAGCAGCATGACGTGAACATCGCGTGGTGAGGGCTTTGTCGACGCGTTCGAGCACGCGGCATCCCAAACCTTGCCAGAGAAGCCGATTGCTGCACGGAGGCCGTGGGTGACAGCGAGCACCTTGCAGCTGATCGCCCGTCGAGGCGAGGCGCGGCGGTCGGGAGACACTGTTGCAGGGCGCAAATTTGCTAAATCCGTACAAAAATATGTGGCGCGGGACCGCGCGAACTGGCTCGAGAAGCTTCTGCAAACAGCAACTGGGGCGATGTGCGCAAACTACGGAAGAGATTTTGTCCGCAGCAAGGACGCCTCGGGGACGCTACCAGCGCTCTGGTGGACAGCGACGCCAGGGCCGAGACGCTGGCCAAGCATCTGGGAACGGTGCAATGGGCGTAAGGCCCACGTCAGTGCTGCCCGAAGAGAGACCAATCCACGAAGAGCGCCCGGTGCTACTCGGACCAATCACCGAAGACGAAACTCGCCAGGCGGCCAAGCGGTTGCGCGGTGGAAAAGCAGCTGGGAGGGACAAGCTTCCCCTGGAATTCTGAAGGCAGCTGTTGGAGATGGCGAGACAGCGCTGTCGTGGATCACAGCTTTCTGCAAGAAGGTATGGACGCAGGCGAGTGTGCCAGACGCCTGGAGGGAAGCCAAAATTCGCATAATGTACAAGAATGGCCATCCGGCGTCGTGCGACAACTACAGACCCATATGTCTATTCCCCATCGGCTACGATGGGACGTCTGAAGGACGCTGGCGCCGAATCCAAGATTTGGAAGACGCAATTCGGTTTCCGCTCTGGCAGGGGGACGGCCGACGCCATCTTCCTTGCAAGACGGGTGATAGAGGACGCGTGGGCAACCAGAGACGGAGAGGCCCTGCTGCTCGCATTAGATTGGGCCAAAGCGTTCGATTCGGTTTCGCCGACGGCGCTGGCGGCCTCTCTGAGAAGATTTGGTTTGCCTGACCACTTCGTGCGCGTCGTGGCCTCCATTTACCAGGACCGCACTTTCGTCGTGAGCGAGTTTGACGAGACGTCTGCCGAGCACTCCAAAAGCTATGGCATTTGTCAAGGGTGCCCACTCTACCCTTTCCTCTTCACGATCGTGATGACCACCCTCCTCACGGATGCGCACAAGATGTTGCACGCGAACATGGGAGAGCTGCCAGGGGAGAATTTCGTGAGAGAGCTTGTCTACGCAGATGACTCCCTATTGATTGACAGCGACCCTCGCGTCGTGCAGGCGCTCATGAAAGCTGTCGAGACCTTCGGAATGCACTACGGTCTCAAGTTCAATTGGCAAAAAGTGGAGCTATTGAGGGTGAAGTCTGGCGCCGACATTCTGAGCGCTTCCGGCGTCCCAGCGGCTTGCAAAAGTTCAGTGGCGTACTTGTGCACCCGTCTGTCTGCAGACGGCAGAAGTGGGTCTGAGCTAAGTAGTCGTACAGGGGCAGCAGGGCAGGATCTAAAAGTCTTAGCGCCACGTGGGCGCATTCCACTCTTGGCCGGACGCGCAAGCCGAGAATGTTCAACGCGTGCATTGTTCAGTAATGTCATTATACTGGCGAAGCTTTTGGCGACAAAACGTAATTCAAAAAAATTAACGCTTAAACACAAAATGATCGGTATAGCGTTGGACGAATCGCGGCTGACCGAACAGCAAAAAGGCTATACATTAATTTTGGTATAATGATTGTACCAAAATTAATGTATAGCCTTTTTGCTGCTTAAACAAGTGTGAAAGCAGACGATTCGACGGATGCCACGCCCGCTGCCTGCGGAAAATCTGCCGCGTGCCGCCGGCGTACGTCATCCGAGTCTCCAACGCCGCAGTTTTTACCATGGCCGGACAGAGGCCGTGGAGCGACAATCTCATAAAGCGACAGATGCTCTTCATGGGGCAACTCGCAAGACGTCCGGATGCAGATCCTGCGCGACGCTCGGTTTTCGAGCCGGCCAGAACTGATCTCCGACCCCCATCGGGTCCACGCAGGAGAGGACGCCCAAGACAATCTTGGGGCAGCATGGTCATGCGCAATTGTCTGTCCGTGGCTGGCTTCCGGGAGGCCTTGTCTGCGTTCCTCTGCCGCGACGGCAGAGCAGCGGCCTCATGGGAGTCGGCAGAAAAGGAATGGCACCAGCTGTAAGTAGTGCTGCATTTCGGCACCAATTCTCCCCTGCCTCACCCTGCTCGCGCGCCGTCTGGAGCAAGGCTGACCGTTCGATGATGATGATAATGATGCTGCTGATGATGATGAGGATGATGTTGGCAATGATGATGATGATGATGATGATGATGATGATGAAGATGATGAGGATGATGATGATGATGATGATGATGATGATGATGATGATGATGATGACACTGTTGATGCTGCTGCTGATAATGATAATGATGATGGTGATGATGATGATGATGATGATGATGATGATGATGATGGTGGTGATGATGCTGATGATGATGATGCTGGTGATGGTTGAGAAGACGTGCGAGGATGATGACAGTGATGATGGCGATGCTCCTGCGCGGGGTGTCCAGAGAAAACAAGAGGGGAATAAACATGATGACGATATTGAAGCGTTGGTCTGATAAGACAGCGCAGTCCCGAGTGAAGCAAAACACTCTGAGTCCCGCAAGCTCCGTAACCAGAGGAAAACTTGAAGTTTGAAGCCTCAGGCTACCGGCGCGGGGGCATGCGCCCCGAACGGAGCAGAAAAGAGTGCATGAAAATCGTCGCTGCGCAAATGCGACACCGCAGAGAGAAATTAAAGATTCGAATCTTGAAAAAGAAGTGCCGATGCTGAAGCATACGGCTCCGGGCCGATCCCCTCGCCTTCGCGCGCATGGGCGAGGAATGGGAGGAGGGATGGAGAGTGAAAAAACCAGTTCAAAACACTGGGGCCCAGCAAAGCTGGAGCGGATTCTCGAATCGTGCCGCGCACGCAACAGGCTCGTGGAGTACGCAGGAAGAGGGGGGGGGACAGGGGGAAAGGAAGGGGCGGGGGGGGCGAGGAATGGGAGGAGGGATGGGGAGGGATAAAACCAGTTCAAAAAACACGGGGCCCAGCAAGGCTGGAGCAGAAAAGTGAACTGTGCTGTTCGAGAAAATGTTACAAGGTCTGGATGCTCGTCAGCTTGGTGGCTTTGATCGTCACGCCTGGCGTCGACATGCACTTCGCAAAGCTTAGCGAGAACGTCGCCTCTCGTAGGGGGACAAAGACTGCCATAAACATTAAGACTCGGAGGTCCGCGCACCGCGCGCTGGGGGCGGCGCCAGAGGCGCCGCCAGGGAACCCCAGCGCCGATCCGAGGAACCCGCACGGACGTCCGCATCTCTATGGTTATGACATCGTTTGTTCCCCTGTCAGGTCGCTCACCACCCTCGGGCCGCCCGCGGCTGCATGCGCGGATGCGGAAGTGGAAGCCAACGCTTGCGCGAGGGCGCCTCCTCTCATCAGCGCTTGCGCGAAGGCGGGCTGAAACTGACTCGCGGACCCGGTCTGGCCCCGAAGCAGGTCCTCGCGAAGCCGTAGGGGTCGGGCGGACCGAGGAACACCTCGGCGGCGCCTGTCTCATATGGACAGCGTCCGCGGCCACACCGACAGCGAGCCCTGTTCGACCATGAGCAGGTGCGGGCACGATCTGTACCCATATCCGCTGCGTCTTGGACTTTCTGGGAAGAGGCACCAACAGGCTGCGGCGTGGTGGATGTGGGTAAACATCTGACCTCTAGGGGCGAAACTGTTCTGTCCATATCCACGGCGCCTCTGGTTTCGGAGCAAGGCAGCCCGAAACCCCAAGACGCAGTGGACGTGGGTAAAAGTCTTAAACGCAGCAGGAACTGATGTCGGTCTTCGCACCCATCCTTGCCGTACCACTTCCCATCCTGCCGATCCTGGGAGCCGAGCGGTCCCTCGGCCGGGAGGCCAGCGCCGACCCGGGAAGCTGCGCGCCGGCGCACGCCGTGCCTGCCATTGGCGGGCCGCCGCTCGGGGGGAGGGGTGCACGGTTTCTCCCAGGGACGTAGGCGACCCGAGGGAAGAGGGAAGAGGGGGAGGAGGAGGAGGAGGAGGAGGAGGAGGAGGAGGAGGAGGAGGAGGAGAGAGGAGGAGGAGGAGGAGAGGAGGAGGAGGCTGAAGGGGGAGGGGAGGAGGAGGACGGGTCGCCTAAGCCCTCCGGAGGAGAAGGAGGAGGAGACGATGGAGGAGGAGACGATGGAGGAGAAGGAGGAGGAGGAGGAGGAGGAGGAGGAGAGAGGGAGGAGGAGGAGGAGGAGGAGGAGGAGGAGGAGGAGGAGGAGGAGGAGAAGGAGGACGGGTCGCGAGCCCAGAGAAGCCCCACACGCTCCACGTAAGGAGAAAGGGGGGGAGGGGAAGAGGAGGGGGAGGAGGAGGAGGAGGAGGAGGAGGAGGAGGAGGAGGAGGAGGAGGAGGAGGAGAAGGAGGAGGAGGAGGAGGAGGACGGGTCGCCTGAGCCCTTCGGAGAAACCCTCCAGGGGGGGGCTGCAGCGCGTTGTCGCGAAGGGTGCTCGGCCTGCGGACCTCTTAAAACCGGTGGCTGCGGATGGAGAGGGAAAAGATTGACTGACTGACTGACTGACTGACTGAGTGACTGACTGACTGACTCCTCCTCCTCCTCCTCGAGAACGGGGGATTGTGGAGCACCTCGTCTTTCGGAGGGTGTGTTCCCCTTCTCCTTCCCCTCCTCCTCTGTCTTCCCCTTCTCCTACTCCTCCTCTTTCTCCTATTCCTCCTCCTCTTCCTCCTCCTCATCCTCTTCCTCCACCCAGAATCGAGCTTTTTGCTTCTCCTGCACCTCCCCTCCCCCCCCCCCAAAAAAAAACGCGGAGCTGTATCCCGTGTTTTTTGTTTGTTGTTTTGGTTGGTGGGGAATGGACTCCTCATCCTCCTCCGCGTTGCTCCGCTCTCCTCATTCCTCTCTCCCCCGCCATCCTCCTCCTCCTCCCTCCCCCAGAATCGAGCTTTTTGCTTTTTCTGCGTCACCCCCCCCCTCCCCAAAAAAT